AATAATTTTATTTCCTCATTTTTTCATATACCTTTTTCAACAATTTCTCCAAAAAATAAATTGGTAAAACCTGCAACAACAATTCCCATATTATGAGAACAAGGTTGGCCTAAAATTTGACTTGTCAACTAAATATATATACAAAATAAATTATTATGTTCATTATTACAACTATTAATTATGTGTGTGTGCATATATATTACCTTCTAACATTAGGTTTACTTAGAGCAGATCTTCTATAAACTTAATATCTTTTAAGTTGATCTTCTGAAAAATTGTCCAATAATAATTTAAAAAGAAAGGAAAAAAAAAACAATTAGTAATTAATTAATAAATTAATAAATGATTAATCGATTATGATCTTAATTCTTCTTTCGTTCTTGCCAATCAAATTCACCTGCTGTCTTAACTTTGATATATTCTTCCGCATCGTCGTCTTCTTCCTCAGCTTTATTAACGTTTTGGTATTGGCGTGGGAGTAAACGGTGTAAGAGGCGTTGCTATGGTTGGAGATTTCAAAGCTTCAAAGATCAGTAAAAACTGATCTATGAAATAACGAGATATCACTTTGTTACACGGATTCGAATTTTTAGTTATCACATACTAATGTGAGATGTCACATGCTAATATGAATTATGAATTCTAATTTATTTGCTTTTGGATCTAATGGTAATGGTCAACTAGGTATAGGAAATTTTTTAGATTGCAATGTTCCAACAACTTGTAAATTTTCAAAAAAGATTTTCCAAGATAATTACAACATTCCCGCACCAAAAGTAATTTCTGGCGGTGGTAATCATTCTGCTTTGATAACTTATAATGGTGAATTATGGATGACAGGCTCAGATATCGATGGTCAATGTGGCAATATCATCATCAATGATGAAAATAATAGTGATCATAATAACAGTAACAATAATGTAGAAGACAAAAAACTATCAAAGAAAGGAAATCAATGCTATAATTGTTTTCATCAAGTTCTAACAGATAAAAAATGGAAGTTTGTTGCATGCGGATGGGCATTTACTATTTTAGTCGAAGAAAATGGTAATGTATATTCTTTCGGTAAAGGATTATTTGGCGAGTTAGGATGTGGTGAAAACAATATTATTATTAACAAATCAAAAAAAGTAGAATCTATTTCATATATAGAAAAGGTTGTATGTGGTTTACGACATTGTATTGCATTGACAAAAGATGGTAGTTGTTATGGATGGGGTAGTAATAAGTTTGGGCAGTTAGGATTAGGAAATGATTCTGAAGAAATTTCACAACAACTAGGAAAAAAACAGCCTAATACTTATTATAGCCCTAAAAACATAGTAATTTTCAATGATTGTTATAATTATGATAACAATGGTTTGTTTATAATAGATGTTGCATGTGGGCAAAACCATACCGCTGTTTTAACATCTAAAGGTGAGATTTATACATTTGGACTTAACAAGTATGGACAATTAGGATACGCATCACCATTAAGCATTCGAAATTGTGAGATTCCAAGAAAAGTGGTTGGTATTGATAAAGTTATTGAAATATCATGTGGATGGAATACAACAATGGCACTGATAGATTGTGATGATAATAATGATAATAATAATAAATTGGTGATGTGGGGTAGAAATGACCATGGACAATTAGGAACAATTAATCCACCACCGTCGCCATTATCATCTTCTGGATGGTTATATCAGCCAATACCATTATGTTACCTTCCAAAATCATCGCCAATATTACCAAAAGGTTTTAAGGTAAAAACTATCGAGTGTGGATCAGAACATTCGTTGGTGTTATCGATTGATGGTCAATGTATTTCTTGGGGATGGAATGAACATGGTAATTGTGGTGTAGGAAATAACAATGATCAATGGAGCCCGGTAAAATTGATTAAATTCAACAAAGATGAATTTTTGGTAGAACAGATTGGTTCAGGATGTGGGAATTCTTGGATATGGGCCAAAAAGAAAGATATCAAATGATATATTTACTAACTTTTTTTTTTGGAAAAATTTGATGCGTTGATAAATAGACGTACTTATTTAAATAAATATTTAAAAACTCTAATCATTTTATATATATCAATTGAAATTAAGGATTATATTTTTTTTATAATGACGATGATTATTTAATATAATGAAAATGAAGTAATATATATATATATTTAAAAATATATATGTGTGTGTGGTATATACAATATGTATATATATGTGTGTGTGGTCCAAGAAAAAATGAAAAAATAAATGAAATACAAAATATTTAAATATTTGCAAAGAAAAAAAAAATCAAATCGTAGAGGAAAAAATATATTTATATAATATATATCGACTCTATTACTATATAATAATAATATAGTGGTAGTATTTAATATTTGATAAAAAAAATATACGATAGATAAAATAAATGTCCATATCAATACTTCAAAAACTTCAAATATAAAATACAGATGATCTCACAAGATATATATATTTTTTTTTAAAAAAAAAAATAATAATTATAATAAGTTACAATAACAAAATTTTTCAAAGAATAAAAATGTTAATTTTTATATTTTATAAATAATTAATCTACTATATCTCTTCTTTATGATAAGATTAATAATAATATTGTTTCTCTTCTCAATTATATAATATTGTTGAGTGAGTGAATGAATGAATGGTTGGTTGATGGTCGGATAGATGAACATATATAATTGATCGGAAAGATGGGGTTGTTTATCGGATGGTAGTGTTATAGATTTAACTGGATGTAAGAATGGATCAGATGGAGTAATTTGCTGATTGGAAACAGATTGCATATGTCTATAGTTATACATGTTTATAAATTGATGATTTATTTGATGGTTTTATTTCTAATTAGTTGATAGGTTTATGATAGGTTGATTGGTAGGTTGATTGATTGATACAATAGTAATATGTGTCGATTTATACAAAAGTTGATTGAATGGATTGGTATATCATATGCTTTGGCACAATTTGGGTAAATTAAAATTTTTTTATAATTTGTAGTTCACTCACCTTATTTATTGATCATTTGATTGATATAATTAATTAGTGAACAAAAGGATAAAATTGAAATGAGTTTATCGTTTGGTGCTACTAGATGGGAGGCTGGTCGCCCTGTTGCAGTAGAAGCTATAAGATTGGCCATGTTACCAACAATCAATTCAATGAGGTCATCAATTATATATCTTAATTTAATTATTGTTATAATTTATCTTTGATTTATCCTTTATTATTAATATTAATATTGATATTTTTATTAGTATAATTGGATTAATTTCAATTCCAGGTATGTTAACAATATAATATATATTAGTTTAAAAAAATGGTATATCTAACAATAATAAATAATGTTTATAATTTAGGAATGATGACTGGTCAGATTATTGGAGGTGCACCTATAATGGTAAATATTAATAATAATGATAATGATAGTACATATAATCAAACCAACTAACCAATAAACTGATTTATTAATTAATCAATTTTTATCATTATTATTAAATTTAGGATGCTGTTAAATATCAACAAATTATCATGTTTATGATATCTGCTTCAACAGCACTTGGTGTACTTTTTTCAACATTTGTAAGTTTGTTTATTTCATTTGTTATATTGAATTAATGTTAATCAACGCTAATCAATAATTATTTTACCATCAATCAATACCAATGCAGGTCTGTGTATTCACATGTATTGATGATCACCATCGTTTACGTACAGAAAGAATATCAAATGCAAAGCCATGGATTTATGCACAAAAAGATAAATTCTTTGAAAAAACTAAAAATTTATTAATTGATTTAAAAAATAAATTATTTTGTTGTGCCATTCAAAGGAATAGTCTTTCTTCTGATGATGATCATTATGATTTAAATAATGGCGAGAATTTGAGTTTATTAGATAGTCGTCATAATCATAACTCATGATTATCATATTGGAATAATTATATAGATCACTAAAGCCATTTCTTAATAAACATTTTCAAAAATTTAAAAAAAAATTTTATATTATCTCTCCACCTCTTCAACATTATCAT